ATGTATATTTAGTTTAATCTTCCTCTTGAAGATGATCACTTGGTGATCAAAACACGTGTCCAAGTGTTGAAATAACGGTTCAGTGTTGGGAAAAAACCCAACAATATCCAACCGGATACTTGTGTATTGGCACTTCATAGAAAAAATTAATATCATGTGGAAAAAACATGAAAATAAACACTGAGTTGTTCACAAAAGTTTGCTCGGTATCGCAAGGTTCCATTACAGACCCGATTGACTTCTTTATTCATAACAAACGTAAACCAATTGACAGTTCAAGCGACGATTAAATCTGATGAATACGACTTTTTTTCTTTGAAATCCTTCATATGAACTCCGGCTATGGTCCCAAAAGACTTCGAATATTTCGCGCCATCCTCATGAAAGACGGATGTAACGAACTGTCAATTTTTAGTGGTCTGGCGAAGCAGAGCTGAGGAGCAGAATGTCAGGACGTCTCATTATGGTCAACATGATGTGCAGGGAAATGTCAACCACCGAGTCTATGGAAATTCCTCGAGTTCAGATTATCTTCTCGCCTTGCGTGGCTTTTAGAGTAGTTGGATCCCCGATGAAGCATCTCACGAGTGAGTTTGATAAATAAATGTTTCACTTTTTATATAATGACACAAAAACTAAGTAGTAGAAGTAGTGTGAAATGAGTTCTGTTTATTGTATATGGAGTGTTACAAAATACTATTATTCTGAACAATTGTGGTGAATTCTGATCGATTTTCAGATGTGAGCGAAGTGGCCTTCGCCCAAGACAGCCAAACGGAGTCGAGCAGCATCACCAGCGAGTCTATGAGCGTCTCGGAATACGTCGCCATCGGCATCTGCTCGGTGCTTCTGGGCCTCATCTACGTCGCCTCGGTCTTCCTCTACCTGCACCTGCGGAGACGGAACAGATCCGACTCGTCGGAGAAGTCTGACGAAGACAAGAGCATTCGCGGCATTGAAGAAGGGGTGGTCAAGAGCAACCCTCTGCTCTCGATGCCGACGCACTTCATACAGGGCGAGACGGCGTACAGCGACACCAACAGTTCGGATAACGACGCCGCGCCGGATATAATCAAGCATTACGAGGACAGGAAGAAACAGGTGAGTTTGTGGAAAATGCCGAACTTCGAAAACATCTTGTATGAGGAGTGATTTTTTAAGAGGTAAAGGATTTGATTTCCAAAACAACACAAAACATTCGAAAAAATTGATGAAATCTTTATCGGAATTGATAGAACGATCAATATAATTTAATGTTTGAAGAGGATTTTATGCAAATGTTGTCCGCGGCTCCGCTTTAGATAGCCAATGAACAAGGTCCAATTTTGGCACACTCTCTCTAACCGATAAATTGATGGATGTAGTGGTAGAAGATCATAATGAAAAGAGAAATGAAAGTTTCTATGTTTTTTATCTCTTTTCATTTCTCTCTAACCGGTATTTCACGTATAAATGCTTCAATATTAGCTTCCAGAGCGTCAGTCGTTGCTGGTTCATCCCTGTAGATATGAGCCTTAACATTACCCCACAAGAAATAATCCAATGGCGTTAAATCACACGATCTAGGCGACCAATTGACGGGCCCCAAACGTGAGATGAACTGTTCACCGAAGGCGGCTCTTAATTGGGCCATTGTTTCGCGTGCGGTGTGGTATGTGGCACCGTCTTGTTGAAACCACATGTCAAGCATGTCCAATTATTTAATTTTGGGCAACAAAAAGTAATCAATCATCACACGGTAGCGATCGCCATTCACAGTAACGTTCCGGCCATTGTCGTCTTTGAAGAAGTACGGCCCGATGATGCCACCGAGCCATAATCCACACCAAACAGTGACTTTTTCGGGATGAATCGGTGGCCCTTACAATGCTTGTAGCTGGTTTTCACTCCAGATGCGGCAAGTTTGCTTGTTAACGTATCCATTCTACCAGAAATGAGCCTCGTTACTGAACACAATTTTTCGATAAAAATGTGGATCTTCCTCCAACTTTGCCAGCGCCCATTCCCAAATGTTAGACGTTGTGGGAGATCGTGTGGCTTCAATTCTTGCACCAGCTGTATCTTATAAGATTTTACACCCAAATCCTTTCGAAAATTTTTCCACATAGTGGTGTAACATAGGCCCAATTACTGCGAACGGCGGCTAATCGACATTTCACGGTCATCACGAACACTGGCGGATACAGCCGCAATATTTTCTTCGGTCCTCACTCTACGTATGCGTGTTGGTGGTTTAATGTCCAATAATGTAAA